GATTATTATCCTTAAACATTATCCTCTCGTATACAACACTTATATTCCATGTTTAAGGTTACATAAATAATCAAGGAATTTTATTTGATATTCATAAAATATTCATAAATATATGCACATAAAATGATGAATAAACTCTTTTATTAAATAAATAATAAATATCTTTTTACATCTCATGCTTCTAGGACACTATTCCCAACAATCTCCCACTTGTCCTAAAGCAGATGTGTCATGTCTCTAATCCGTACCGAGTAAATCAAAAGACATAAATCCATAAATAGGAGTTTGTTAAGAACTCAGGATTAAGATCATCCTATATATGACCATCGGTAGACTCAATTAGAATTTCTATGCTTAACGGAAATTATTAGAAATTCATATTGTGTCTGCGTCCATGTTCCACATAATCTCATTATGCGAAATACACTCATTCAATATCTCACCATCTTAAACAGTGCGGATAACACCGTTCCATTCTAAATGGGAATGACATGTATTATTAATGTTTTAATTAAAGATTCCGAACTTTAATTAAATTCATTATCAACAATTACTTTTTATTATTATCCTTAAACATTATCCTCTCGTATACAACACTTATATACCATGTTTAAGGTTACATAAATAATCAAGGAATTTTATTTGATATTCATAAAATATTCATAAATATATGCACATAAAATGATGAATAAACTATTTTATTAAATAAATAATAAATATCCTTTTACATCTCATGCTTCTAGGACACTATTCCCAACAAGCACGATGTGGAATTTTTGGGAGAAAAATTTTCCTTCTCTCTCTATTAGGGATTTCGGCCAGCCCTCATAAAATTAGGTCAAAACATTGTCACACATAATTTTTATTATATCTTATTTATATAGTAGAAGTCAAACTTCTGGAAGAAATCCAATCTTTATCTCCTATTTGAATTTGGAACAAAATTCTCCTCTACCTTATCTCAATGTGGCCGGCCATGTGTAGGGTTTCCTATCCCTGTGTGTGGTGCCAATTCCATATAGGGAAGGAAGAGAAAATCATCCTTTATCATGTAGTCCAATTTTAATTCAAATTCAAATTCGAATTTAAAGTTTATGCGTTTTGATTTGGGATTCTTGATGTCTTGTTCTAGCTAAACTCTTAGAGATAGGGGCTTAATGTAGTTTTAACGTTGTTATGCTTTGAATATTCTAAGTGCTTGTTAATGTGATTTTCTCTTTAATCATTTGTAGTTTTAACTTGTTAATGTGCTTGTTCTAATTTGTGTTTTCATGAATTAGAGATATATATGTATGGATTTAGGCTCGAGAGAGTTACTTTCACATGTTGGGATTTGGGAAACGCAATCTAGAGTTAATTGAGTTCGGGAGGCCAATTAATTCGGGTAGTCAAGATTAGGTTTGCTTAATGGATGCTTGATTCTGTTAGGCTAATAGGGATATTGCTTAATTAGTTTTACATACTATTTTACTCGGCACTCAAAAGAGGGAGTGAAATTATTTTTGAAAACCTAGACTAATGAGAGTGAAATACATTGACGAGCCTACGATTTGGATATCAACATAGCTTAGTAGAGAGAGATCAAAGTCCCTAACTACTTTATTATCATCAGAGTTTCCTTCGGTCCTCATCTCTAAATTACACATTTATTATTTACTTATTTCTTTTAGTTATTATTTTTATTACTTTTCTTTGTTCGTTACTTATTCCGGTTGTTTAAATAATCTTAGAGCCGATCGATTTTGGTAATTAACGAAAATTAAATACATTTATCATGGGATCGACACTCTTATTCACACTTTATTACTTAAGGTGATTCGTTCACTTGAGAACATAAATACACGCATCACTCATGCATTATAAAAATAAATTCTGTAATTTTCTTTTTAGAAGATTAAATTAAGACGCAAAGCCCATATTTATATTACTAGTTGGAGGAGGTAGAGTCTTTACCATAAAACTAGGAGAGTCTTTTCTCGCTTATCCCCCTTAAAAGAAAATGGGTCGGTCCAACCCGGTCCTAAGCTCAAAAAGTTTAAGACCGATCCAATCCGACATCTTAGAGGACAAACACTACACACTGTTCTCTGGTCGGGGACTGTGTTCACACATCCTATCGAGTCCAGTGGATAGATTTACGTATTATTTTATTGTACCAATTGTATTTTAAAAAACATGCTTGTTTACCTGAATTTTTTGGGCCAGCATATGCAAAAATTGTGATTTAATCACTCTCATAAACACGCATTCCGATAGTCCATGCAATTGTGATCCATATGTCATATCTCGTTATTGAAAGCAGTCACAATGGATAAAAGGATCTGAACGCACTTAAATATGGCCACAGACGAAAAAGTTAATAAAGTTTAATTAAATTAAAGAAAAAGATTTCAAAAAAGAGAGGACCACCAACATAACCCGAAAATCAAATTAAGTACCACAAATACATTATATTTCAATTTTCGTCTAAAATTCTAATGGACGGGAAATTTTTGTTAATGTTTCGCTCTTCTAGGATACAAATGTTGTGTTTTTAAGATCGGAGATAAGGGACGCATTTGGAACACGTTTTAAATTAATTTTATTTTTTTATATGAAAATAAAAATAAAAACGTTTTCAATCTCAAACAGAAATTATTTTTAAAAATGTGTTTGGTAGTTATATTAAGAGATTATTTTCAGTGTAAAAAAACCCATTAATGTATTTCTTTCTCTCTCTACTCGAGAGAGGAAAAAATGAAAATAAAAAATGAAAAATGACTAAAAATTATTTTTTATTTCTCTCTCATTTTACACTAAACTAAAAAATCATTTTTATTTTTATTTTTTATCTTTATTACACCAAACACTGTTTTGTAAACATTTTTATTTTTTCTTTCTCAAAAAATATAAAAAATAAAAACAAAAACAATTACCAAGGTGTTAAAAGGATCTAGAGAATTTTTTTAATTAATCTATGAGTAATTATGTAGCTTAATAAATACGTGTGGGGGAAGATCTCTGTTCATTTGTTTAGTTATGTAGGGATTATTTTTTTAGAGTGTGACTTAAATTTAATTTTTGACTTAAATTTGAGTTATAACTTGAATTAAAATTATAATTTAAATAAAGTTAAATAAAATTAAAATTTTAAAAAATATAAATTTTAATAAAATTATAATTTAAATTTAAATTTTTTAAATTTTATTGTAAAAGAACAATTTGAGTATGGTGGGTGGTATTCACCACAAGAAACATAAATGATAGGTGGTGTCCCATCGTTAATAACTTTCAAGTCTTTCTCTGCACATTGAATTCTTCTGTCGAAACATCAGATGAGGAAAGCAAGAATCATCTACATAATAATGCATGTGACCCCACGTTGATTCCACAGCTCACTCCTTTTTAGTTTTCAGTGGGAAAGCCTGAGAGCAATGTAAATGAGATTTGACAGCACAAATAATTTTGCTTTGGAGACAAAATGAGATATGTCGGGCTATGTTTAAAATTGATTTTATTTTTATTTTTTATATTTTTTAAAAAAATATGAAAATATTTTTAAAATAATATTTGGTATAATAATGATAAAAAATAGAAATAATTTTTTTTTAATTTAGTGTAAAATTAGAGAAAAATAAAAAAATAATTTTTAATAATTTTTTATTTATTTCTTTTTTTCTTTTTTAGAGCAGAGAGAGAAAGAGAGACATTAATGAGTTTTTTTACACTGAAAATAATCTCTTAATAAAACTATCAAATGTATTTTTAAAAATAATTTCTATCTAAGATTGAAAATATTTTCATTTTTATTTTTATATAAAAGTAAAATTATTTTAAAATGAATTTCAAACGCGCCAATAAATACTAAGTTTTGGCGTCTTATTAGTGACCAACTTGTGTGTCATGCAACACAAGGCATTAACACTTGTAGCCAAGATTTTGACACTTCTAGCGACTCTTTTTATTTTTTTTTTATTTTTTTCAAAATAAGTTAAAACCGTAATTTAATAATTTATTTATTTTTTCAAAATAAGTTAAAACCGTAATTTAACAATTTCTGCTTGCAAGGATTGAATAGTTAATTTAAGGAACATGACAACATTTATTCATTCTGCTTCTCAATTCACATATGCAAACAATATATGTTATCTTCCTTGATGGAGAACAAGAGAAACAGCATAAAAGTACATTTTTATTCATAAAAAAAAAAAGAAAGACGCATGAAAAAGCAGCCACAACAATTACAAAGACAAACATAAATAAAATTGGTTTATTATACCCCACTATCTTGTCAAAACAGCTTATGAGCCGTGATTTACCTTAAGTTTAGAGGACGTTTGTTTCTTATATTCATTTTTGATTTTGAATCATAATTCTGAATTATGATTCATAATTTTTTATAGTATTTTTTTCTCATAAAAAAAACATATAAAATAAAAATAATTCTGACTCATGATTCTAAATACATAAACCAAATGTACTTTTAACTATCTAGTGATTTGAGCAATGAAAGAATTTAACTCCATGCGAGAAACTCCACCTTCAGCAACAGCCTTTCTCAATTCATTTCCCAATTCCTCTGCCTTTTCCCTTATTTCATCTCCTTCTTCCGATTTCATCAATCTCTTCGCGACTTTCTCAATCACTGATGAACTCACCAACTCATCTCTTTTTGTCCATTCCCTAACAACAACACCAACTTTGAGCAAATCTGTGATCAAAACAGCATTCATGGGCTGATCAGAGTGCATTGACCAGGCTGCTATGGGCACTCCAAGACTAATACTTTCAAAGCATGAATTCCACCCGCAATGACTCATGAAACCTCCAGTCGAGGAGTGCCCCAAAATCTCCAACTGGGGCGCCCAATCTCTCACCACAATTCCCTTCCCTTTCACTCTCTCCTCAAACCCTTGTGGAAGTTGAAGTCTCCTAGCTTCACTTTCATCAAAAACATTTCCTTTATCTGCATCTCTCAAAACCCACAAAAACTTTACCCCACTTTTCTCTAACCCAATGGCCAATTCTCTAATCTGCTCATCTTCCATGAAAGTTGTTGTCCCAAAAGAGATGTACAACACAGAGTTTCTCTCCTGCTTGTCAAGCCACTCCAAGCAAGAACAATCCCTTTTATGTTCACCACTTGAGTTTGGTACTATCTGCTTGAAGATTGTTACCGTCTCTAAAGGCCCGATTGCCCATATTTTCATATCCTCATTAGTTTCTGTCTCTTTCGCCAAAATGAAGTCAATGAAACAGCTTTCTATAACCCTACTAGTATTGTACAAATGTCCAGATTTGCCATTTAAAAGATTGGTTTGGTAAGCCATGAAAGCCTCAAACTCGGGGTTTAAGCACCCCTCAACGGGTGGAATCTCAGGGTGAAGTTCTAATCCCATGGTGTCACGAAGCAAGGCAAAGTTGGAAACGGCAGACACAATGGAAAACATAAGCTTCTGTGTTGGGAAAAGAAGTTGCGTCTTGAACAACAGAAGCCATTAAACGGTCATGGATTAAGACAATTCTTGTTGCCGTTTTGGAGAGCAAAGTGAGAAGATTGGCAAAAGGTTGGCGAAGGTTGAGAGCGGCTTGAAAGGAAGGAAGGAGATGGGAAGGGAATTTGGTCTCGTTTGGGAGAGGAGAAGGGAAATGGGGAATTGGGAAGTCGTGGAAATGGATTGATCTTTTGGTGTCGTTTAGTGCTCGACTTGCTCGAGACTTGACCTGGGAATTGTTGAGAGAAGAGCCAACGTAGTGAACTGGGATGTTGTAAGAGGAAATGATGTGGGAGAGTTGTAAGAGCTGGTTTAGATGGCTCTGAACTGGGAAAGGAACCATTACCACTACAACTGATGAAGATGGAGAGTTTTTCAAGGCTTTCTTCGGATTTGTTTCCATGTCGATGGCAAGCGGACGAAGGATATATATATATATATATAATTTCCACTTTTGCTCATTTCTCGTGTAGTCGTAGATGGCCTTTTCTGCTAATTTTTCTGGTTCTTTCTCACGGGGTGGGATTCCTTGCTCTCTTCCTGGCGCCTTGCAGGCGGTTTGGGGATTTCTGTGTTTTCTCCTCCAATTATTATAATCTAAAAGCAAAAAAAAGACAGTTTGGGATTAGATAAGATAAAAGATTTTTGTCTATTTGTTTTTTCATTTATCTATTGGTTTAGAGAGAACACTGAACACTGAACAATAAAATAAAATAAAAATAAAAATAAAGAACGAGAAATTGAGAATTCATTGTCCATTGATTCTGAGTTCCAATTTAATTAATAATTAATTAAAATATTTAATTACTTAATTAATTCTATTAAATTTAAAAGTTACTTCATTATAAAATTAGAATTATACTCTCATAATTATAGATATAATCTACTTCCAAAACTCGAAGTATTCATTTAATATAGTTATTACATATAGATCAATCATCTATAAATAATTCATAATTAGAGTCAGGTTAAATTTGTTCTATAATTACATATTTATCATTGAGTACTATTGATTCTCTAATAAATTGTATATTGATAAAAAATTCATGAATACGAGCTCAGTACTTATTCAAGTACCGAATCAACCCTCAATGAAACTATTTATCTTTTTTTTTATTCAAGACGGAATGGATTCCATCTCATATATTATCATTCTCGGCTATCTATTTTATCATGTCTCTAAGATACAAGGAATATGATTTAAAATCTCAAAATTCATACCGAGTAAGTCAAAACACACAAATATATAAATAGGAGTCTGCTAGTAATTCGTAATTAAGACAGCTCCATATATGACCATTGTTAGACTCGATTCGAACTTCCGTTCTTAAACGGAAATTATCAAAAATTTAAATCGTGTCTGTGTCTTGGTTTCACACAATAACATTATGTGCAATACACTTATTCAATATATCTTTATATTAATAGTGCGGATAACATCATTCTATTCTTAATGTGAATGACATGTATTAATAGTATTTTAATTGAAGATTCTGAAACTTAGATTAATTACTAACATCGTTTTAATTATTATCCTTAAATATTAACCTCTCATATATAACACTTATATATAATATTTAAGGTCACGTAGATAATCACATAATTTTCATTGATATTCATAAAATATTGAATAATATATACTAATAAAATAATGAATAAACTCATTTATTAAATTAATATAAATATCCTATTAATCATATCTTCTAAGGCACTATTTTCAATAAAATCCACGTACCGTACCTTGGACCATATCGTGGGATATAGACCGGGCTTGGGCCTTGCGAAAACATGAGTATCAATATTAATCTCCTTAATTGTGCGGGTCATGTAACGCAACGATGTGGGCCAGACAATCAATCTTTATTTTTCAGAGTTTTGCCTAACACTTCTCTTTTCCTTCTTTGGCCAATTTCTTTTAGGAAAATAGTAGGAAATATGCCAATATGAGAAGTTTAAGAAAGTATATAGGTGAACTTTTAGTTATAGAAATTAATAGGTCATAACTTATCAAGTTATGGTTCATAACCAGATAAGTTATGGACAAACTTGTCAAGTTATGGTTCATAGCTAGACAAGTTATGGACAAAAACCGGGAATAACTTATCAAGTTATGGTTCATAACCAGACAAGTTATAAATGAAAACAGTAATTTGGCCTATTTATTAACTTATGTAAACTATTGGCCTATTAATTTTAATTCATCTCAAGTCTTGGCCTATTTCTCTCTTTCTCCCTTTCTTTTAGTGCGGGCACTTCATTTGTAGACTATTTCACCAGTAGAAATTACCATGATAAAAAATTCCCTAAAAAAAAAAAAGTAGAAAATATGTCAATATGAGAAGCTTAAGAAAGTATATAGGCTAATTTTTTGTTATAGAAATTAATAGGAGACAAGTTATGGTTCATAATCATATAAGTTATGGACAAACTTGTCAAGTTATGATTCATAACTAGACAAGTTATAGACAAAAACCGTAAATTATAAACAATAACTTGTCAAGTTATGGTTCATAACCAGATAAGTTATGGATAATAACAGTAATTTGACATATTTATTAACTTATGTAAATTATTAGTATATTAATTTTAATTCATCTCAAATATTAACTTATTTTCCTCTTTTTCCAAAAAAAAAAAAAGAAAAAAGAAAAAAAAAACAGTATTGTCGAATGGAGCAGGTCCTTCAGAATGGACTTCGTCAGGCAGAGAGAAATCTGCCCGGTGTCGTTTCATGCGCCAATTCACTCCTCTGTCGCAATTAAATCACCGAATGCATTGTTCTGACCACCGCAGGCATAATTCCTTGGCGTCTTTACCCCATCTCCCTCCTTTATTTATTTATTAATCTTATTTTTTTTTTTTTGGGAGTAAACCTTTTAAATTCTGAGTCTCCGAAAAAAAAAAAAAAAAAATTTCTTTTTTTTTGAAAAAAAAAAAAAAAAAAAAAAAAAAAAGATCTTGGTATGCTTCAGTTTTGATACTGCAACGCATTGAAGAAGATTACCAACTTTCTCTCTCAGCTTCTAATAAGAACAATAAGAAACAACACAACATCTAATGTTTTATTCATCAACGGCAACAATTAACATACAAAATGTGATTTGTTAAGCCTAATCACGATCTTGTGATATGAGCAATGAAAGAATCCAACTCCAAGCGAGAAACTCCACCTTGAGCAGTAGCTTTTCTCAATTCATAACCTAATTCTTCAGCCCTTTTCCTCACCTCATTTCCTTCTTCCGATTTCATCAATCTCTTCACGAATTCCTCAACCACCGATGAACTCACCAACTCATCCTTTTTTGCCCATTCCCTTATAACAACACCGATTTTGAGCAAATCTGTCATCAAGACAGCATTAATGGGCTGATCAGAGTGCATTGACCAGGCTGCTATGGGCACTCCAAGACTAATACTTTCCAAGCATGAATTCCACCCGCAATGACTCATGAAACCTCCAGTTGAGGAGTGCCCTAAAATCTCCAATTGGGGCGCCCAATCTCTCACCACAATTCCCTTCTCTTTCACTCTATCCTCAAACCCTTGTGGAAGTTGAGGCCTCCTAACTTCACCTTCATCAAAAACATTTCCTTTGTCTGCATCTCTCAAGACCCACAAAAACTTCACCCCACTTTTCTCCAACCCAACAGCCAACTCTCTAATCTGCTCATCTTTCATGAAAGTTGTTGTCCCAAAGGAGATGTACAACACAGAGTTACTCTCCTGCTTGTCCAGCCACTCCAAACACTTGTGTTCGCCATTCACTCTATTTGGTGATCTGTTCTTGAAGCTTGTCACAGTTTTCAATGGCCCAATTGCCCACATCTTCACATTCTCATCACTCTCTCTATTCATCTCCAACATGAAGTCAAGAAAAGTGCTTTCTAACAGCCTGCAAGTGTTATAGAGATGCCCGGATGTCTTAATTATATGCTGGTTGACAAACTGATCTTGGTAAGCTACAAAAGCTTCGAACTCGGAAGTTATGGACTTCTCCAAAGACGGAATATTCGCATACTTGTTATCAGCATCATGACCAATTTGTACTCCCAAGATGTCACGCACATAGGTGAAATGGTAAAGGGGAGAGACACAATGGAATTGGTAAGACTCAGTGTTGGGAAAAGTAGAAGAATCTTGAACTACAGAGTTCATCAAAGGGTCATGGATTACGACGACTCTTGTCGCCGTTTTGGAGAGCATAGTGAGAATGTCATAGAAAGGTTGTTGAAGGTGCTTGATTGTGGCTTCAAAGGAAGGCATGAGATGTGAAGGGAATTTAATGTCGTTTGGGAGAGGAGATTGGAAATGGGGAATTGGGAAGTCATGGAATTGGATCATTTTTTTGGTGTCGTTTAATGCTTGATTTGCCCGGGACTTGACCTGGGCATTGTGGAGTGTGGATCCAACATAGTGAACTGGAATGTCGTGTGAGGAAATGATGTGAGAGAGATTGAAGAGCTGGTTTAGATGGCTTTGAGAGGGGAAGGGAACTACTACTACAACTACAGCTGATGAAGAAGAGGATTTTTTCTCAAGGTTTTCTTGGGATTGGTTTGCCATTGATGGATGAAACTTTTGTTGGGTTTCTTCTTAATCTATGAGCTCTATTATTGTATGATAAACTCTATTTATAGAGTACATTTTTTTACCGTTAGATACTCATTAAATTCCTTTAAACTAACTTTTTGATAAAATATTAAAAGCTGAAAAAGCTGAAAGGAAAAAGTCGTTTAACTTCTAAAAAATTATAGCTGTTTGTGAGCCTCTACTTTTGTTTTAACTTCTTAAATGCACTTTCTGTACCATTTATTGGTGGAACCCGTGACACACAATAATTTGCCATAAAAGGAAATTAAAATTCAACTCTGCGGCGAGGGAACTTGATTCGCATGATCATGTTTTGCCATACTTCTATAATATGCAAAAGCTTTGCAAGCTGAATCGTACTTTCACATAAAATATGGGAATAAAAACATAATGGGTTAATTACAAAAATTCCCTATGAAGTATGAGATAATGTTAATTTTTTTTGACGATATTTGACCATTGACGTGTTTTACTACTAAATTCAAGTTAACCTAAATTAATGAGAGAACAAGAGAGTGAATGAGAGAATGCTTGGAGGTTTAATCGACGCGCCGTTATGGATGGCACGAGTACTCTTTCGGGCCATGATAGCATGCATTGCAGCTTATGATGTAGTTAGTTCATAACGACAACGATACGTTATTTATGCTTTGTTTTGAATAAAACGGTCTTTTTGTTTTGCAAATTTTTTCATTTTGATGTGATGTAAATCATATTTAGAGTTTAAGAATATGCACTCTCGGTATCCATACTATAATTTTTTTATCATTATTTTTTGGTAATATAACAAATACATGTTTATTTAAGGGCAGCACGTACGGCGCTACATATCATGTATATTGTTCAGTTATATATATGTGTGTGTGTATATATATATATATATATATATATATGTATATAAGCTAAAGCTAATTAGCAGAAGGCGCTGCTTAGAAAAACCATCGAGAGTACAGAGATACTTTTCTTCCATTCAATGGCTGAGTTGGCCTTGCATTTTCCTCAAATCCCTGAAAAAAAAAAAAAAAAAAAAAAAACTCTTTCGTTCATTAATTTCAGCGCTAATTAGAAAAGAACACCTTTTGACTCCAATTCCACCCGTTAATCTATCTGATACTAAAACGGACGAAGGATTTTTAAAATTTAACAGAAGTATTCACAAGTCTATCCTATGATAACTTGATATTTTGTTGAAAAGAGATAGATTAATTATGTATAAATTGCTCTCTTTAATATTTATGGTATTAAATAAAAACCATTCAGATCATATATAGCTTCTTATCTTGGAAATTAAAGCCTTTGCTTAAGTTTTTATTCCGGACAAAATATTATATGAAGTATAAGTGCATTATGAAATAATCCCATCATGATCAAAATTTTTGTCAAAAAGTACTTACATCATCAACTGCCTCCTGTAACGCTTGAACTTGTTTCGGTGAAACTGTCTGCACCTGTAAAACACAAATATTGTACATATTTATATAAAAATAGTATATATATATATATATATTATACACACACACATATATATAGTCACGCAGAGAAAAAAATATTGACGACGCAATACAACTAATTGAATAAGAAGAAGATATAAATATACAAATTGAATATTGCTAATTAATTATTATTAAAGAGAAGATCTTGTGCAATATATATATATATATATATATATAGATAAATACCCTTTTGAGAACTGTCCAAAGTACATTCTCGGCACATGGAGGAGTTGTAAGAGAACCATTATATCTGTAGTATGATCTCCACCTTCTTCCTGGGGACTCAATATCTCTTGGATTAACAATTCCCAAAGGTATCTGTTTCGTACCATTTCGAAGGGATAGTATTTGCTGATAGATCTGCCACATTATATATATATATATATATATATAAGAAGAAACAGAGCCAGACTTTTATTCAATTTGAGTACAGTATGAAAAAAATTAAAGATAATGTTTTAGTATAAAAAGAGACAAAAGTTATATATTTTAGTTATTTTGTAGGAACGCAATTAATAGTATGATCAGTGGATGATCAACATTACTTACTATTGGTACTTATTATTGGTATACTTGGACTAATAAGAAGTTACCATCTAAAATATAGCCTTTTTGTTGTTGCTTTACTTATACTTCACAAATATAAACTCGATCTTTTTTTTTTTTTTTTTTTTTTCAATATAAAGAAAGAGATCAGAAACAAATATATTAATGAGGAAAAAATAGATAGAAATTCCAATTATATACGTAGGACGTAAAAATTTATGTACGTACTATCAATAATCTCACTAGGCAGGGAACAAATCAAATGTATGGATTAAAATATAACGATTACTTCTTATTCATGCATGGGTCTAACAGTTTGCGTATGACTTTATTATAATTAGTTAAAACAAGTGTACGTAACATTTTTATTTTATTTTGTTTTATTTTATTTTTTGTTGGGATGAAGATCAAGAGAATGCCCAATTGGCATCATTAAAGGTTAAAAATATTCATTCAAAAAAAAAAAAAAAATCTCCAACTAAATTGACAACCAATTACGTAACATTTAATAACCCTCGTTGAATTTACTTGATATTTCTGATAACTCTTTTTCTTTTGGGCTGGCTGTGATGAATGTTCATGGTTGTAATAACATCTTGAATTAGCCGAAATATTGGTTTAATAGTACTAATAAATGTGGAAAAAATAGAACAAAGTAGGAATTAAAACAGAAAATACGCTTGAAAGGAAAGGATCGGGTTTGCTCCATCTCATGTATTTGTAAAGAATCCCAACAACAGCTATCTCTCCTCTATCATTTTTATGAACTAGATGAATCTCCATATCAAACCTGCAAAAAGTACTCTTTGTGAATAATGCGATATTTTTCTAACACATCATGATTATTCTTTGAGCATATAACTGTACTTATCACCAGGCACATATATATATATATGTACGGAAACCATTTTTTGTCCAGAGAATTAAAAAAAAAAAACAAGTTAGATATATTGGGTGTGTTTGGAATTGGTTCCAAAATGATTTTATTTTTTTGTATAAAAATAGAAATGAAAACGTTTTCATTTTCATTTTGGAATTATTTCTGAAATGCGTTTGGTAGTTTTATTCAGAGATTGATTTCAGTTTTAAAAAACAAACTGAAACTGCGTTTGGTGGTTTAATTTTTGAAAACATATAATAATATTTAAAATAATAATATAATAATTAAATAATATTATTAAATATATTAAATAATAATATATTAAATAAATAACATTATTAAATATATTAAATAAATAATATTATTAAATATATTAAATAATAATATATTAAATAAATAACATTATTAAATATATTAAATAAATAACATTATTAAATATATTAAATAATATTATTAAATATATTAAATAATAATATATTAAATAAATAATATTATTAAATATATTA